GAGGAGTGAGGAGATACTTAAGAGACTGATCGATGACTGAATCCTGTCTAAAACAAATCCAATTGTTAAAAAAAAAGGGCATGTTTGGGGTAACAGGGAAATGTGATAGTAAACTAGCCCATAAGATGACATAAAGGAGTTATTGTTAATTTTGGTGCCTGTGATAAAGGGATGGTAGTCATGCTTTAGAAAATTCTAAATCACCTAAAGATGCACACCAAAGTATTCAGGTGCAACGTCATGATATCTGGTATTTGCTTTAAAATGGTCCAGGGGAAAAGAACAGGTGAGGTAGGGAACCCCAACATCCTATGCCTATAACCACTTTTACCGTTATCCTAGAATAGAACATATATTTTACTTTATAGTATGAGCTGCATTTAATGTGCCAGAACAAAGGCATATTTGTCGTAGACCAAAAACTATTTTTAGTTTAGTTTGTTTCACCAGTATAGTGAAAAGTAGTAGCTCTTGACCAAATGCAGTACATTCAATATGACTGTTAAGCAATGGAGATTAGCAAACTGATTATCATTAACTCTAGGCTAGATAGTAAACTAAAAATGTACTCCAGACATTTACTTAACTAGATCATAAAAGTTCCTTTTAAAAATTCCATCCCTCAAAGTTTCTCCAGAGACCTTCTTACCTTTTTGTTCTTTGGAAAGCTGCTCAGCTTGGTCCCAAATTTCTGTGGCATAGAGGAAGTTGGATGTAACTTGAACATAGCTGGCTGCCATCTGGTGGATCCTGTGTGGAATGGTCACTGAAGAACCACTCGCTGAAGCACCACTACTGGCCCCAGAGGAATAATTTCCTGAGTTGCCTGGTGACAGCTTTGGAGAAACAGGGGAAGGCATCCCAACAGCTTTGCTACACACAGAAAACAGAAAGCTTATCCATGTGGATATGGTGGACGTGATGAAACCAATGTACTGCACACGGGCTCTTCCTACTTAAAGGTTTTAAAATTTAAAGATTCTTTTAAACTAGAAGGGTTCCCAGAGGAGTACAATTCTAAATAAGTACTTAGGCTTGCTAAAGATCATTGTGAATTATCATTTTATTTAGACTCTTTGTTTTGCCTTTTAATTTTAATTTTTAAATTAGAGTTGACATTCAATATTATTTTACATTAGTTTCAGGTGTACAGCATGACATTTATATAATTTACAAAGTGATCTCCCCCAAGTAGCCTAGTATCCACCTGGCACTATAGTTATTATACTATTATTGACTATATTCCCTGTGCTTTACATCCCTGTGACTATTTTTTAACTGCCAATTTGTACTTCTTAATCCTTTCCCCTTTTTCTCCCAGCCTCCCCAAACCCCTCCTCATCTTGTAATCACCAGTTCTGTGTATCTATGAATCCATTTCTGTTTTGTTTGTTCATTTATTTTGTTCTTTAGATTCCACATATAAGTGAAATCATATGGTTATTTGTCTTTCTGTGTCCTACTTATTTTACTTTGCATAATACCGTCTTGGTCACCCATGTTGTTGCAAATGCTAAGATTTCTTTTCTTTTTTTTTTTATTATGGCTGAGTTAATATTCCATTGTATATATGTACTCCTGGTTTTAACGAATGGCAACAGAACAAGAGATGGAAAAGAACTGAGTAAGTCATACACCTGTTAGTAGTTGAACGAATAAGTTATATTAACTCACTCCCAGCTCAACACACTTTCTATCTATTTGGACAGATATTTAGGAACCTTTCAAATTGTTTTGTGGAAAGTTAGGTGGAATTAACAATTTAACACATAAAAATTATGGTAGTAGATGGGAACATCTTAGTTTAAATTCCATAATTTCTGGTACTTCCCTAGTTTAACCAAGGTATTCAGAGCTGACAAAAATACAACTTTCTTAATCAACTGTAATCATCTCAAGCTTCTGTCGATTAAATATTTCTTAGAAAACACATTTTGAAAACTGGCAGGGTTCATTCATTTCAGCAGTACTAAAAGTTGTGAAAATACCCAAGACCATTAAAAAAGGGAAAATCATATAAAAATTAGAGGAAAAAAACCTATTTGTTAAGAATATTTTTATCTGCACTTTTAGCACTATAAATTTGGTTAAGAAAATATGTAGGGGCAATGACAAAGTGTCAATTAACAAATATAATAACTGAACAGTAAACTTACCAACAAAAAAGGTTTCATGGTATTTTTCCTTCTTTTGGGGAAAGGGTGGGATGGAAGTAATGTGGGGAGAAAGGAAAAATGACAATCATGCCATTATTATTAAATTCCGGCCGTGTCAAGATTTGAGTAAACTCACTGTGATAAAAGCTCAAGTAGCTACAGAAATCAAACTATGAGAAGAGTTAAGGTGCTGTAAAAACTCAGATTTCTAGAAGTGAAACGTCCCCTCTCTAATCTTGCCATGAAGTTCATTACTCTATTTCAATTTATAAAAAAGAAAAACTGTGACTTAAAAAACACTTTATTAGAGATGGTTTTATTTAAAAAGTTGTCATTTCCCCATTTTTTAGAAATTGGACCCTATCCATTCCACTCTTACATAAAAAATAAACTTATCAGAAATAATATTTTATAGAATAAAATTGACCTACCTTCCCAAGCCAGGTGATGGTGCTTGAGAATTATTATAAGAATTCTGTGGAGAAAATGTACGTAATAAAAATTAAAAGGTAAGAACTGGAGTGTTCTGGAAGACTTGAGAGAGAGACAAAGAATAACACTCAGATCAAGAGTAGGAGAGAGGGCATTGAGGTGAGTCATACTACCAACAAAAGCTGTAGAAAAGAGAATGTATGTGACATAAGGAACAAGAGAGACACCCGCAGGGCCTTTAAGGTCCAGGTAAGCAGCCAGGACTTGACCCAGCAAGCAATGGTAAACACTGAAGGGTTCCCAGTGATAATCAGGGCAAGGTTTTAGGAAGATTTATGTGTTGCTGTCATGAAAAAAAAGAGAAAGATGGTAATGAAAACAAAAGACCACTTTAAAAGTATAAATTAGGTTTCATGATAAAAATAGCCTACATCTACTAAAATGTTATTAAGAGCTACTGAATCCATGGCTACACAGGTTCTACAATCAAATAGTAGCTTCCTCCTTGCCACGGCAGGTAAAGCATGAAGGCACTTTTGGGGTGGTGATAGGAGACTTCACAAATTTTGTTTCCTGGAAAATGGGCCCTCCTCCTTTGGTACACTTACCTTCAAGTGCTCGGTCAGTGTCTTTGAGTACTTCAGAGCATTTTCCTTCTTCAGTTTGAATAGCCTCAGGTACAGCAAAGACTGGCATCGCAGGCTAGTCAATGGAAAGGGCAGTTCATTTACAGGACAGCACGCTCTGGCCTTATTTGCACAGACAACCTTTGCATTGTGCAAGAGGATAGGACTGGCTCATGTGAACACACCAAGGCATAAAGTGAACAATATGAACTCTTAGGCAAAACCAAAAGCTGTGTTCTCATTATGGTACACACCCTAGGGAGGGGGAAGGAAGGGGAAGAGACCTAGGACTACTAGCCTCCTATTTGTTGACATTCAAAAATTAAAACCGCACCCACAAGACCCAACACTGTTAACATGCATTTAAAAAAAAAAAATCATGGAGGGCAGAACTGCTAGATTGAATTATAAAAATATCTAAAATAAAACAACAAAAATTAAGAAACTCAATTATGAATATTACCACTGATTAAACACATATAAAACTTAATACGGCTTACAAAGGCCAGGCACAATCACCACCGCCTATCTCTCCAATCACTTTCACTTCTCACTGGTCTTTTAGTTCCTCCATAGTTTCCGATTTCTTTCCTCTATCCTGCCCTTGTACATGTTTCCTCTACCTAAAGACTAGGTCTCTTACACTCTACTCTCACTGTTACATATACTTTTCTTTCAGAGGACTTAATTTATATACTTGTGTGATTATTTGATAAATTTATCTCCTCTCACTAGACACCAGACTTTGTAACAAAGAGGACTGTGTCAGTTTTATCCACAGATCCCGCCCCGGTAAATACCTGTAACAATGAACTGATACCTCTCCCTGGCATACAAGCAACAGTCTTTATTCTGAGCAAGCTAAATGTCTGCTCCCCAAGGAAAGGTGTATATGTGAATGGAGAGAGAGGATACCAAAGGAAGAGCCTGGAAAAATAAAAATGGAGAATTCTAATATCAGTCCCCTCTACCCAGGCCTTTGTCTAGAGGGCCATGGATCAGAGACTGACAACTATTACAATCTTTCAGTAGAGATTTTGAGTTATTTTCTACTTTACCAATTAAAAATAGATTTATGACTGGGTTATGGAATGTTGATTCAAGGATCATTTCCAGAAGAGCAAAGACAGCACAATTTATTATGGAACTCCCTGTTATCTGGCAGAGGCTGGAACATACAACGCTTACCAAAGTACTGTGAGTCTTTTATCTGCAGCTGTAGCATCTGGTGCTAAGTAATTCTTTAGCTTCATAGTGTATCTGCAAGTTAAAATAACAAATGAATGACACAAAATATTTCACCCTGATCTTATGACTTCCCTTAAAATATTAAAATAAAATCTACATAAAGGCAAAACACCCACTGAAACATCTAGTTGTCCTTATCCAAGGACAATAAAAGATAAGCATCCTCTTTAGCTTTTCTGTATACAGTCGTGCTGGTTAACAACAGGTGTTGTTAGGCGATTTCGTTGTCATGTAAACACCGCAGGGTACACTCACACAAACCTAGATGGCATGGCCCACCAGACACCTAAGCTAGATGATATAGCTTATTGCTTGTAGGCTGCAAACCTGTACTGCATGCTACTGCACAAAACAACATGAGATTAAATCAGGCACAAGAGAAAATGATGCAATCAAGAGGCAAACACAAGATGTATGAGGCTGCTGCCAGTGTTAACAGAGCATATTGTTTTAAAACAAACTTTCTACTTATAAAAGAAAGAGCATACTCTAAAGAACAGTAAAAAGCGTAGTAAATATGTAAACCAGTAACAGTTGTTTTATCATGATCAAGTTTTATGTACTGTACATAATTGTATGTACTATACTTTTATATGATGGGCAGCACAGGTCTGTTTACACCAGCATCACCACAAACACCGCAATGCACTACGACATTACCATGGACCAGACCACATTAGGACATAGGGATTTTTCAGCTCCATTATAATCTTATGGGCGCACTGCTGTATATGTGGTCTGTCACTGACCGAAACGTCATTATAGCGTGCATAACTATATAGTTTTCAGCCTCTTCCTGGATAGACCATAGAAACAATATTGTCAATGATATGGCAAGTTTTCCCACTTACTTGATGAGTTCCACTGTCTCTGAATACATAAGGAATGGGGATTTGGATTCCTGAGCATTTTTCTCTAACGCATTCCCACATTCAATGAAAGATACCACGGCATCAAGATAGTACACAGCTTTCTCAAACCTGTCAGACTAAAGAAAGGAAAAAAAGGGTAATGAGAGCTACATGCACCATGGGAACAAACAACAAATGAAGATTTAGTTAATTTGATTAAATACATAAATGTGAGGAGAATGTTTACATACCAATGCATCTGCATTGTGCTTTAGCTTTTTTGCTTCTTGTAAATAATGGTCTGCTGAATAATTTCTGCAATGTAAATTGCTATTGTAAATAAAGTGGTAAATATTTTCATGAGGTAATATTAGTTCATTTTAGACTCCAGCATCCTTCAGTTTTCATGCCCTCAAGTAAAGAAAATGAGCTATTACTAAACATTTGATTCAGTTTTTTCTGATGTTTATATTGGGTTAAGAGCATAAATCATTTTGGTCAACTCATGGCAAATTCTCTACTTAGAAAAATCGAAATCAAGCTCCCTAGCATTAAATACTAACTTATGTAAACTGTTCGAAAGATTTACAGTAAATAAAATATAAGTAGGAAAAAGAATCTTTTACCAAAATGAAGGAAAAAATCTAACACAGCTCTTACAAATTTAATAAAGCCCCTATTTTAAACAGTGACACCAGCAGCATTAAGGTTCTCCTGGAAAGCACTTCTTTCATATACTCTATGAGAGTCATGGAGTTAAGTTAAAGAAGCAATACTTGGGACCAGTGGATGCCTTTCAAATTAAATTCTGAATATTCTGTAGGTCCCAGCACAAATATGAAACCTTCTAGTCATGGACAGAAATTAAAATGAGTTTTTTATATGCTGACTGGAATGATTTCTTGAATGCATAAAAAAAAAAAATCTTATCTCACCTGTCATCAAAGGCAAGCTTTGTTCTTCGAGGCTTAGAAGAATCAGGAGTTGGTGTAGATGGAGGACAGTTTGAGGAGCTATTTGAAGCCTTTTCCTGACCCAAAAAAATATATAACTATGTTGAAAATGGTGAGGAGATTAAAATTAAACTAAAAATATTTCCTGAACCACTGGTAAAAATAAATTCCACTGCCTTCAGTAATTTGCTATAAAATTTTTGAATTTCAGAATGTAAACAACCTTTTAACAGAGTGAAGCCATTTTATATAACCAAAAATATTCATTCTACTATTAGGGGGTCTACTATGTGCCAGGCACTTACCTAGGCACTTGTTAAAAACATAAGACACCAAACTTAATATAAAAATACCAGTACTACTTAAAACAAAATTTATTGGTAATTACTGGTCAATGAAAACAGTAATAATATCATCTAACATTTACTTTATGCTTACTTACCAAGCACTAAGTTACTAAGTGCTTAGCGCAGTCATTAATCCTTCAACAACCCTATGAAATATATGCTGCTATTAGGAGAGAATAAAAAGTAGTCTCAAGGAAATTAAGTAATCTGCCCAAGTTTGAACAGCTTTTAAGTATCACTGCTGGAATTTACATTTTAGGTCCAGATCTGTCATATTTCAAAAGCCTAGCCATTGTCTTTAACATTATTCTGCCTTCTACCAACATAGCCCTTTATGCCAGGGCTATGATCCTGTCTTCCCAACTGTTTCCCCATTCAGCCCTAACTTTTACTAAAATGAATATACATTTTTCCATAACAAAACATCTTAAGTAGAATTTATCCTACAAGTGCAGGAATGTTTCAACATTAGAAAACCCAGTAACATATCATTTAACTACATATGCTTAAAACTGATGTAAAAAGAAAATAATGTAACCATTTTTTTCTTTTCTTGTATAAGAGCTTTTCAGTTCCACCCATTACAGCTTACTTCAGGGAATGAAAATAAGTCTTGAGATATGACAAAATACTTAAGCTCTTTATGGTAAAGTTTGCCTGTTTAGGAAATAGCTTCCTGAATATGATGGTGCAATGTAATGTTACTAAAACAGCTTTTAGATATATAGTGCCTAGATTCAGATTTACTGAAGACTGAAGTTTCTGAAAGATAAAAAAATGCTCCACCTATTTCAATACACTTTTCTTATATAAAAATTATGTGTGTGATATGTAAAATCACTAATGTGTGGTGATGGATGGTAATTAGACTTATTGTACTGATTATTTTACAAAATACATATATGTCGAATCATTATGTTGTGCACCTGAAACTAATACAATCTATCAAATATATCTCAATTTAAAAAATGGCAGAACTACAAAAATAAACAAATCCTGTATATCTGTGGAAATAATGGGAGAGTGAAACACATTTCTCTCAATGAACAGGCCAAAATCACAAAATATCAGTCAACATAGAGAAGATCTAAAAACATGATTAACCTAATTGTATTATATGGATCCCTGTCTCCAATATATATAGAACATACATTCTTTTCAAGCAAATATAGATTATAAAAATCTACCACATACTGTACCCTCTTATAAAGCAAATCTCAAAAATTTTTAAAGGATTGCTACCATGCAGACCACTCTCCAGTCCCAATGTAATTAAGGTAGAAGCATTAACCAAAAGATAACTGGAAAATCTTCCTACATTTGGAAATCGAATAACATACTTTTAAATGACTAGTCAAAGATGAAATCACAGTGGAAATAAGAAAACATTTAAAATGGCATTATAAAAATATTATATACCAAATCTTGTGTAATGCAGCTAAAGCAGTATTTAGAGGAAAATTATATATAGACTAAGTGCTTATATTAGAGAAAGAAAAAACAAAATAAATTTAAAAATTAATGAAATATCCATCTTTAAAAGCTAGTAAACACAACAGCGAAACAAAAAGAATGAAGGAAATTATAAAGATTAAGAGTATAAATGAAATAGAAAATAAAAATAAACTAGAGAATCAACAAAAACAAAGGTTTTTTGAAAAGAAAATTGATAGGCTTCTGATGAGACTGATCAAGAAAAAATGATAGCACACAGAGTTAATATTAAGAACAAAAGAGGAACATACAGAGATGTCACAGATATTAAAAGTATAAGACACTACAAATTTATGCCATTGTCAAAAATTTGACAATATGAGCAAATAACTAGAAAAGGAAAAGAAATTTATGTAATTTGGGTTTCCATATTAGCTAATTTTTCTTCAGCTGATGAGAGAAACAGCATATTTTCCAACTATAGATTTTTCTTTAATAAAAATTGCCAAGACTAACAGTTAACAATTTTAACAATCGTTAAGTGCCAAAAGATCTTGACATCAAAGTGGTCAGGGCTTCTATTTTATATTTTGTCAATAATAACAGAGTACTGAATAACTACATTTGATCCAACAAATATTTCCTGATTAGCCAGTAAGTTAAACACTGGATGAAAAAGAGAAAGCAAGTTAAGATACAAATTCCTGCTTTCAAGAAGCTGACAAACCAATAAGGAAGAAACAAAGGCAGTGAGTCTTACCTATGAGATAACAGAAGCAAAATGAGCAGGGTAAGCTCATTCAATGAGTACTTCTTTAAATAACAGTAATCAAAAAGATATTAGGTTTCAAGAAATAAGCATACAGGCCTCAAAATCCTACAGTTAAAGGATGGGAAATGGAGAAAGAGCCAGGAGGCAGGTAGCAGAGAACTGGGACAGTGAAAGCCAATAGGACACTCCTGTCCCTTAGAGACACCAGGACTCACTCTGAACTACTACAGAAGGGTGCCCAGTTGGAGAAAAAACTTTCTGCATATCTCAATTTGAGATGCTGTTTACAATTAAAATAACCTCAATTTGAAAGATTTCATTACCACATTTAATAAGCACAAACAACTGCCTTTAACAGTCTAGTTTTTCAACTCTCTAACCTTTGCTTATTTAAGTTACAAATAATAATCCAGTGAGTTACAAATAATAATCCAGTGGTTCTTTAAAATCTAGGTATTTTCTTAATTTTGTCAAGGAGTTTGCTCCTGATTAAAACAGTTTAGAAAGCAATGCAAATAACCTTGTAAACAAATTGAGGGTGAGAGTAAAGCCCTGAAAAAGCTTCTTTGATCCAATTCCCCATCCACAAACATTAAAACAGTATAAGAATATTCCCATACATTATGATCATGCTAAGGGAATAATTCCAGAGTTAGCTCAGCTAAAGAATTTTCTTCATGAATCAAAGCCAAATGGTTGCTTTGTCACTTTACATAATATAACTTGCTTGCAAAATCCAATTCTAAAAAATCTGAAGCCAATTTCAAACCATAGACAAGCAACTGGGGTTATTTATAACTAGATCATTATCAACTATTTTTCCATAACCAACTTTTCTGATTATGGGTTTCTATCTTAATTACTATACACTTGGCCACCTGACTTGCTGCTTTCATGGTCTCAGATCACTGCATAAGTTTATTATCAAGATCATGACATTTTGTGAGTAAAATACACAGGCCTATAAATTTAATGAGATGTTTATAAAACTTTCAAAGCACAGTGTCACCTTGGATAAGTCACATGGCAACGAGATCGATTTTCAAAAGACTCAGGCTCAAATGTCTTACCTTGACCTCCTTAGAGCTACTGGAAGTCTTCCCTTCAGTTTTCTTCTGCTTGGAAGTGGAGGAACTGTTTTTACTGCTGCCACTATTCTCCTTGTTGCTGTTACTACTTGACTTTAAGGAAGAAGACTGACTAATAGTCCTCTTCCGAGAGCCATGCTCCGTTTTTGGGTCTTTTGCCGGAGCAGGCCCAGCAGGAGAAGGCAGTAGATCCTTTTCCTTTGCTGCACTCTGCTTAGATGACCTGCCAAACCAAGCAAATGCCCTCATTTCTCCACACAGTCATATAGGGGTGACGGGTTTTTCTCATTTCTCTTTGCCTGCTTTCAAGACAAATTTGTTTTTTCCCTATCTGATTACTAGGACACATGATTTCTGCAAAACAAAACTGTAAATTTCATGAGAGCAGGAGTCTTCCTGCTTTCAAGACAAATTTGTTTTTTCCCTATCTGATTACTAGGACACATGATTTCTGCAAAACAAAACTGTAAATTTCATGAGAGCAGGAGTCTTGTTTCTCTCCCCCCCACCATGGTTGTATATCCAGTGCCTAAACCTTGGCTTGCCACACAAGTATTCAATAAATACTGGTTGAATAAATGAACAAGGTGAATGGTAAATGAAGATGTTAATGCTCATAAATTAGCAATTAGCGTCTTGCAAGTTACAGATAAGTTTGTCATCTAGCCAGATAGTAGTAAAGCCTTACTTTAATTCTTATCCTATTTCACCCCTACTCCACTAAAAAAGCAGAGGAAGAAGTGCCTGAATCGTCAATGCTTTCTATCCCTAGTAACTATAGCAAAAGCTCCCACTATTTGGTATATGAATGTGTATACATTTCTTTGACATATACCTGCTAAAAGGAGCATTCTAAGCACCTTAGAAAGTACCCAATAAGAAATAACACGTTAATACGCCTGTAATACGTTTGGGGACGTACTCTCTGTTGCTGGGTGGCTTGTGGCCTGCTGAATTCTTGTCCTCCATTTTGGGTTTCTTGCTCTCATTGGTTCGGTTATCATCTTCATTCTGGATGAAAAACAGAAAAAGAAGCTGCTAGGTTTGAACTTTATTAATCTAACTTGTTTCCAACACATCACCCCCAAACAGTTTATCCCTGATAAACTTCAGAAAGATACGTGTGAAGTAAAAGAATCCATTTAAAAATGTTCAGTAAATTAAGTTTTAAGGCTCAGAAGAGGTCTCTTATTTTAGATTAACAGAGGCCAAATATTGAAACAAATTTCTAGTCTTCAAATGACATCTTTTCAGACTAACGATTCTGAGGGAGAATAAAATTTTAATTAAAATATAAATTCACATACCAATAAAATTGACTCTTTAAAAGAACACAATTCAATGTTTAATATATTCACAGAGCTATACAACCACTACCACAACCAATTGTACAACATTTTTATCATCTCAAAAGACACCCTTGTACTCATTAGCAGTCACCTTACCCCAGATGCTAGCAATCAGTAATCCATACATTTTGTCTTTATGGATTTGCCTATTCTAGACCTTTCAATATATGTGGAATCATATAATATAAATGACCTTTTGTGCCTAGCTCCCTTCATTCAGCAAAATATTTTTAAGGTTCGTCCATGTTGTAGCATGCATCATTACTTCGTTCCTTTTTATGGCTAAATATATTCCACTATATGGCTATACCACATTTTATTTATCCACTCATCAGTTGATGGCCATGTGGGTTATCTCCACTTTTTAGCCAATATGAACAATACTGCTAAGAACATCTGAATACGAGTTTTTGCGTAGACACGTTTTTATTTCTTTGGGGGTATATACCCAAGACTGGACTGGCAGGGACATAATAAGGTAACACTATGTTTAAATTTTTGAAGAACAACCAAACTGGGTTCCAAAGCTGCTATATCATTTTACATTCCCCCCAGCACTGTATGAAAATTCCAATTCCTCCACATCTCATCAACACTTGTTACTATCCACCTTTTTGGTTATACCCAAGCCAAATAGGTTTTTAAAAACTTTTCTTTGCTGCGACACAAGCTATGAGCCCATCTATCTATAATTGCCAATGCTACTTTCCTGGGTGAATCTAAGTTTCACTCTTTGATATCTGCTTCAAATATCAGGGCACAAAATTATGTACGTTTTGCCGTAACAAAAGAATCTGTTCCCCTACACAAAATGATTAAAGATGAACACATGAAACATGAGAAAAATTAATCTACATCCTTCATTACTCTTGGCTGGGTCTCCTCTCCATACTACCTGCTTTATCTTTAGAAATTCCCCGACATTTAATTTTACTTTAGCCAAGAATCTCAAAAGTCACCACCAAGTTTCCTGGTGCTACACATTTCATAGAATCTAAATTTGACTCACAAGTATTGTTGTAAATACTTGGGAGGACTATATACCAGAGAGATATAAGGGAGGAGAGGAGGTACAGGGGCACTTCTTTTAGAGGAAGGGAATTTTTTAATTACAAGTTATATGTATTGTAAAAAGGACTTTCTACATTATAAACATTTTAAAATCTCATAAACAACATGTTATACTTGTTAAGCACAAAAGGACCCATTTTTTTATTCTGTAAGAAACATCTTAGTTTTCTAAAGGGTAAAGCATGTCACATACATGTTCTATTTCATGCAATTCTATGAATTAAGGCCCATAAACCACATCTGGCAATCTGAGGCTGTGGGCTTTAGGGGCCAGCAGCCCTAAATAGCTTACATTAGGGATGTAGTATAGGGATGCTTTATTTGACTAAAACTCATTATCTATAGCATTGACAGTAGTAAACTCCAGTTTTCTAGAAATTCAAATTTTAAAATATCTTCAACTTCTGAAGATACTAAAAAAAAAAAAAGAGACAAGTATTATTCTACTTTGCCAAATATATATCATCACCTGCATATAATACTGTGGTTTTATGGAAGGGGAACAAAAAAAGAAAACCCCTGGCTCACTTCATTTTAGGAAAATGTTAGTCTTTCTATCCTCCTGTGTGAAATTCTCCAGGTCAACTAAGATTGGGGTTTTGTTCTGACACTACCTGGTACAGCCGTTCTGGTGCCTCTCTGGCCACCTGCTCATGCTTCCAGTCTTTACAATCATACTCTCATACACGTATCAGGAAATTACACCATTCTTCAAAACAGATGATTAAAAATGTACTTTTCTCTAAAAATTCCTCACTAGAGCTGAATAAATCAAGCTGTTACACTCTATTTAAATATATGTTATTCAGCTCTTTTCATTATGTCCGTTATCCTACAATCATAGACATCTGTGTTTTCATATTACGTGGACCTAAAAAAAGCTGACCTTAAATATATACACTGAGCTTGGTCTCCAAATCCAAATTATCTTGGAGGTATTTAGGGATAAGAACTGGCAGTGTGCCAGCAGATGTTTTTTAGTTCTGAGCTTGCAGATATGTGTGTTCAAAACAGAAAAAAGCTGGGGCATGGATATGTGCACTGGATTGGTGAAATTCTTAAGGATGTGTCAAAACTGGTGAGTCAATTTAGCTAGAAATTAGTAATTTTAAAAGTGTGATCTGGTCTGAGTGTAACAGAGAAATGTTAGGGACTGTGATAACCTGGAGAGTATGCAACCCAACCAAAGATATTTCAAACCAAAGGTGAAGCATGCAGTGCACGACAGTGTGCAACCTCTGCCTGACTCCCACCTCTACACTGGCCAGTGTGCACTCGGGGAGGAAGCCCCGGCTCCTTTCTGACCTGGCTACTAGAAACTACCTGCTGGACTGAAAGACAGGTGGAGCACTGGGGGCCTCAGGAGACTCTTCTGTCTGCAGCTTCAACTGGGCCTTGGGCTCACCCTCTATTTTCCCTCATAGCCACAACTCAACTCGTTATTTTTTGGCTGAGATTTCCATTGCATTTCAAAAAAACCCTTTACAAACCTTATGTTTCCTCTTGCCTTTGTTGGAAACTTTTTCTGAGGCTTGTTTCTGAGCCTCTCTTGTGTGCTTTTCTGGCACATTTTTCTTTTCCCCCTTGGGTGGCTCTGTTTCTTTGTAAGGCTTTCCTGGTATTCTAGTCAAGAGATTCAGGTCAATCTTCACAATAAGTGGATACCTGTCATCAGGCTCACTAAGGGGTGAAAGAAGTTCCTTCTCTTCCATAGGAGAGAACATTCGTTGACGAAAAAAGCTATCTTCTTCCTCCACTGAGGAGGGCTTAACAGGAGTCCTATTACTCTCAGGGTACTTAGGAGTTTGTGAGGAAGGAGGAAGGCTCTCGCTTTCATCTGAATCTGAGGATGAGGTATCTGTTTCTATGATTTCCCTCGATTTCTGAGAAGATTTACTGGTTGACTTGTATTTCTTTTTCTCTGCTGAAGGTCGAGGGGAAGATTTTGACTCCTTTTTTATGTTGGGTTTCCTTGAGCCTTTGGTGGCTGCCTTGTGTCTGCTGGAGGGCATGCTGGTAGCCATGTCTACAGGGGTTTCACTTTCTATCTTCAAGCCTCCACGGGGCTCTTCAGCAGCTGCCTTCTCAGCCTTTTTGGGTTGTTTTTTGCCTACAGTTCTCCTTTGTGTTGTGCTGTCGCTCTGCGCAGGAGACTTCTGCCTCCCACGCCCACTTTCAGATCCCTTTTGGACAGTTTTGGAGTCTCGTCCAGGAGTAGCGGAACTCGTTTCTTTAGGTCCACTTGGATCAGTGTAGCTATTCCCAGTGCCCTGTTCTCGGCCTTCCTTTTTATAGCCTTGAGATGATGGGATGTTACTGTCCACAGAAGAAGCTGGTGACACTTTATGTGGGTTCACTTTATTCAACCAATTATCAAGTTGCCATTTGTTTGTTGGTGGTGGTTCAGGCTGAAAGAGAAAAATAAGTATGCTTTTTTCAGTATTGAAGCTTAGTCCCTCCTTTACAGGAGGAGGGATAACACAATGCCCAATACCACAAATACATTTGTTTTTCATACTTCTGACTGGACCAAAGCAAAGGCTGAATACTGACTATTAGGTCTAATCACTTGAAGGAGAAGTTAAGCTTAATGTTACAGATAACCTTTAAACATTAAATACTACTGTCAGGACTCTATCTTCAAGGCAAAATTTTAAGAAACCACATTTAATTCCAGAAAGTAAACAAACAATGTAGGTACCAACAGAGATTTTTAATCACATATTATCAACCTATAGTAAAGTTATGTCATATAGGACACTTTTTAATCCACAATAACTACTGTTTGAACTGTTTGTTCAAATCACAAGGAAACTGAAATATCTAGGTTTCCTCTAAGACAGATAATTCAATTTCTTTTTGTCAGAATATGTAATCTTTTATATTTGAATCGGGCCATCTGGCCATCCCAGGGGTCCTGAGAGGGCCTATGGAAAAATGCCTCCGCCTCCCTCTCACCTCAGGAGATGCACTCTGGGACGGCTCATTTGCCTCGCTGTCACTGGAACTACTTTCACTCTCTGAGTCAGATCCAGAACTGCTTTCAGACCCACTGTGGCTGCTGGAGTCATCACGGGAGTTATCTGCCCCTTCACTGTTGTGATGTAAAAAAAGAAAACCCCTGGCTCACTTCATTTTAGGAAAATGTTAGTCTTTCTATCCTCCTGTGTGAAATTCTCCAGGTCAACTAAGATTGGGGTTTTGTTCTGACACTACCTGGTACAGCCGTTCTGGTGCCTCTCTGGCCACCTGCTCATGCTTCCAGTCTTTACAATCATACTCTCATACACGTATCAGGAAATTACACCATTCTTCAAAACAGATGATTAAAAATGTACTTTTCTCTAAAAATTCCTCACTAGAGCTGAATAAATCAAGCTGTTACACTCTATTTAAATATATGTTATTCAGCTCTTTTCATTATGTCCGTTATCCTACAATCATAGACATCTGTGTTTTCATATTACGTGGACCTAAAAAAAGCTGACCTTAAATATATACACTGAGCTTGGTCTCCAAATCCAAATTATCTTGGAGGTATTTAGGGATAAGAACTGGCAGTGTGCCAGCAGATGTTTTTTAGTTCTGAGCTTGCAGATATGTGTGTTCAAAACAGAAAAAAGCTGAGGCATGGATATGTGCACTGGATTGGTGAAATTCTTAAGGATGTGTCAAAACTGGTGAGTCAATTTTTTAGCTAGAAATTAGTAATTTTAAAAGTGTGATCTGGTCTGAGTGTAACAGAGAAATGTTAGGGACTGTGATAACCTGGAGAGTATGCAACCCAACCAAAGATATTTCAAACCAAAGGTGAAGCATGCAGTGCACGACAGTGTGCAACCTCTGCCTGACTCCCACCTCTACACTGGCCAGTGTGCACTCGGGGAGGAAGCCCCGGCTCCTTTCTGACCTGGCTACTAGAAACTACCTGCTGGACTGAAAGACAGGTGGAGCACTGGGGGCCTCAGGAGACTCTTCTGTCTGCAGCTTCAACTGGGCCTTGGGCTCACCCTCTATTTTCCCTCATAGCCACAACTCAACTCGTTGTTTTTTGGCTGAGATTTCCATTGCATTTCAAAAAAAACCCTTTACAAACCTTATGTTTCCTCTTGCCTTTGTTGGAAACTTTTTCTGAGGCTTGTTTCTGAGCCTCTCTTGTGTGCTTTTCGGGCACATTTTTCTTTTCCCCCTTGGGTGGCTCTGTTTCTTTGTAAGGCTTTCCTGGTATTCTAGTCAAGAGATTCAGGTCAATCTTCACAATAAGTGGATACCTGTCATCAGGCTCACTAAGGGGTGAAAGAAGTTCCTTCTCTTCCATAGGAGAGAACATTCGTTGACGAAAAAAGCTATCTTCTTCCTCCACTGAGGAGGGCTTAACAGGAGTCCTATTACTCTCAGGGTACTTAGGAGTTTGTGAGGAAGGAGGAAGGCTCTCGCTTTCATCTGAATCTGAGGATGAGGTATCTGTTTCTATGATTTCCCTCGATTTCTGAGAAGATTTACTGGTTGACTTGTATTTCTTTTTCTCTGCTGAAGGTCGAGGGGAAGATTTTGACTCCTTTTTTATGTTGGGTTTCCTTGAGCCTTTGGTGGCTGCCTTGTGTCTGCTGGAGGGCATGCTGGTAGCCATGTCTACAGGGGTTTCACTTTCTATCTTCAAGCCTCCACGGGGCTCTTCAGCAGCTGCCTTCTCAGCCTTTTTGGGTTGTTTTTTGCCTACAGTTCTCCTTTGTGTTGTGCTGTCGCTCTGCGCAGGAGACTTCTGCCTCCCACGCCCACTTTCAGATCCCTTTTGGACAGTTTTGGAGTCTCGTCCAGGAGTAGCGGAACTCGTTTCTTTAGGTCCACTTGGATCAGTGTAGCTATTCCCAGTGCCCTGTTCTCGGCCTTCCTTTTTATAGCCTTGAGATGATGGGATGTTACTGTCCACAGAAGAAGCTGGTGACACTTTATGTGGGTTCACTTTATTCAACCAATTATCAAGTTGCCATTTGTTTGTTGGTGGTGGTTCAGGCTGAAAGAGAAAAATAAGTATGCTTTTTTCAGTATTGAAGCTTAGTCCCTCCTTTACAGGAGGAGGGATAACACAATGCCCAATACCACAAATACATTTGTTTTTCATACTTCTGACTGGACCAAAGCAAAGGCTGAATACTGACTATTAGGTCTAATCACTTGAAGGAGAAGTTAAGCTTAATGTTACAGATAACCTTTAAACATTAAATACTGTCAGGACTCTATCTTCAAGGCAAAATTTTAAGAAACCACATTTAATTCCAGAAAGTAAACAAACAATGTAGGTACCAACAGAGATTTTTAATCACATATTATCAACCTATAGTAAAGTTATGTCATATAGGACACTTTTTAATCCACAATAACTACTGTTTGAACTGTTTGTTCAAATCACAAGGAAACTGAAATATCTAGGTTTCCTCTAAGACAGATAATTCAATTTCTTTTTGTCAGAATATGTAATCTTTTATATTTGAATCGGGCCATCTGGCCATCCCAGGGGTCCTGAGAGGGCCTATGGAAAAATGCCTCCGCCTCCCTCTCACCTCAGGAGATGCACTCTGGGACGGCTCATTTGCCTCGCTGTCACTGGAACTACTTTCACTCTCTGAGTCAGATCCAGAACTGCTTTCAGACCCACTGTGGCTGCTGGAGTCATCACGGGAGTTATCTGCCCCTTCACTGTTGTGATGTGAAGGTTCAGAGTTACTAAAAGAGATAAAACACACACACCACCAAAAGTTGCTTATCTTACAATGACAACAGGAAAACATCCAATTCTGACAACCAACTTCCTTTAAAATGTTTACTATGTGTTAAGCTGTTACAGTTCTATGAACCAGAAATTCACTATAAATACCTCCTTAAAAAGTTTCTCATCTGCTCTCAGTATTTATTTTTTTAAAAGTAAGATTCATCCATTTTAAGTGTACAAAATTCAATGATTTTTAGTTAATTTACAGGGCAATACAACCACCATCACAATCAATAATACTTATAAGGCCATTTATTATATCACTACAATGTTATCAGGCTGAACCCACCCCTCCAGATAAAATAAGAAAATAAAAGGATGCCTACCTTCCTGGTGTACTCCTTGGCATTGTCTTATCACAATCCTAAAATTAAAACATGAGAAGAAATCCATGAATGAATAGTACTCTACCTGCTTGATGTGAATATCTGAACTCTTAACAGAAAAACTGTTTTGTCTAACGTGTATGTCAATGTTTACTTAACACTTACAACACACTGTTTTAACCTAAAGAGTAACTGAATGCCAGGATAAGATGGGAAGTTTTGTTAATAATTCTTCTTGTCAACAATTTCATGCTTCATGAATATGTTCTGATCCATAATAAGTATTAAGGAAAAGCCAATTTTTTAAAAGAAAGAAGAAAATGGTGGTTTAAAGACAGAGCAGAGAACAACAACATTCCAGGGTTGGAAAGCAGGAAGGAACTTCTTTTAAATAACCAGATAATAAGTGTATTATTCATTTATAATTCTTATTAAAAAAACGATGAAAACAAATATGTATGAAACTGGCAAATGTAGTAGCAGACACACCTGTTCCCCATCACTGTCTTCACTGCTGCTTAGTTTTAAGTCATCTTTTAACATACTAGAGGGAAGAGGCAGAAAAGAGTATTATTTCTAGAACAGTTTATCATAGCATACCAGAGTATTAAATATCTACTAAGAATTCTAAAAATAATCACTGTGGTAGCCAAAGAGTCAATTTGAAAAACAAATTTTCAAAAAGAAGCAGTAAGTCTTACTCTGTCTGGTTTGGTTCACATCCAGAGTAAAAATTGAGAAATAAGGAATTTAAAAGTTGAGAAATTTCAACATTTCCATAAGGATAATATTTATTTTTCTTTTCTAATTAAACAAAAGCCACCTTTTAGAAACTCTTACACTCACTTCTGTTAATCTCTACTTTTTCCCTAATTGCAGACATACATACTCATTCATTATTCAAACAAATTATCATACTCATACCCAACAGTCCACTAGAGAGATATTAACTCCTAAAAAGAAGATAAAATGAAAGGATCAGCAATTCTTCTTTCACTGTCCCCAAGGTTCCATGAAGAGATCTGTACAACTAGGTAATTGTGAAAACCAGAACACAAAGTCAAAGTTCTAGTTCCTTAATGCCTTGCTACGAAAGTTGAGTGCCTTCCATGGAAGTAACAGTTCTAAGACACTTGGCTATACAACAGAAATGACCGTGTATAAATTAAAAATAAATTTCAGGTTCCGAATCTTCCTTGATCAAAATTGAAATCAATTTAAAAAACAAAATACTATAAGCTAATAAAGACAAATTTTCCTTAAGGCCATAAAATCAGAATTAAAATTAAAATCTTGGTAACAAACCAAAACACACTCCTTGCACCTTTTTACAGGAGAGGAAAAACTAATACAAAGAACTACAACTAGAAATTTCATTTCTCATTACCAGCTGTTCCATTACCTTTCTTCTGAAAATTTCATGACCATCTCTAGTCAGTGGGATGGAAATCTTCCTTGATTCACTCCAATTACTACTTATAATTCTCTCTCAAAGCTTAACACGAATTTCTAAGTCTGACCCCAAATTAAGAGTATCACATACAAGATCACCTAGAAACAAAGTACCAGATGATTACAGAATTATAAAAAATGTTTTAAGATGGCCCAATTAAATGCGACAGAAAAAAAGAGTTTTGTTTTGGACAAGGCCTTAGTGCATCTCTATGACTGATCTCCTGTAAGCAAATGTACTTATTACTCTGAATTCTCTCAGCTCTTGTTTAATAATGGCAACTCTGTGAAACTGTTTACACATGTGAATTATGTCAAAGCTTTTACCAGATTGCTCAAGGTCCTGCCTGCTTTTGTTCCTTCAGCAGCAAGTGATATGCACATATCCATAGCTCGAATCAGTTCTTTGCATATGAATAAATGATAAATAGGAATATAATCTGAATTCTTCAGCAGTGAAAGGAGACTTCTTGCATTCATATATTTTCATTCTCAATCAGGTTGCCCTACTGTCATCTGAAGAGGTTGAAGTTATTAGTATAGATTGTAGTTATGGCATACAGCCACCACTGTGGCCACGGATTTTTTAGAACTTTGGTTTATTCACTAAAATGACTTGTGGTCTCAGGAACTGAGGAGTTCATTCTTTAATCTGGAATTTATTATCATCTAATATACTACCCTATTACATTTTGATGTATACTCCATGTTCTACCTATGAAATAAAAGTAAGAAAACTTAAAGACAGCACAAACTATGTTGCTTTAATATTCCACATTTAGTAGTTAAATGGAGAGCTTACTAAGAAGAATGATGTCTTTTTTCATGTCGTCTTTATTAAAAACTATCAACACACACACACACACACACCCTCTGAGAGATGGAAAAAATTATCAACTCAGAGCAGAAGTAGGCAAACTATGGCCCACAAGCCAAATTCAGACTACCACATATTCCGTACAGAAAGTTTTACAGAACACACCAGACTATGGCCACAGATACCCACAGTCTAAGGCCACTTTTAGGCTACAATGGCAGAACTGAGTAGTTGGAACAGAGACCATCTGGTCTCTAAAACCTAAAATATTTCACTATCTGGCCCTTTACAGGAAATTTTACCTACCATGCCTTAAAAGATTAAGTACATATTTCTAATGTTGTTCTAAATATCCAGACACTACAGATAGACTTTCAGCAAGTGTTTGTTTTTTTTCAGCAAAAAAACCCAAACATTAAGCTTATTAAGAAATAAACTTACGATTTAGACTGATGCCCATTTGAAGTTTTAGAAGGATTGTATCTTTCTAGAACAAAAAGTGCAGAAATCAGCAACTGAAATAGGGTTATTTGGATTGTAAAACATCTATTGATATACCCTCAAGGAAATGTAAGTCAAAACAATGAGATATAATTCTTCATCCATCGAATTGGTAACACAATAAAGTTTGATAATGTAAGATATTGGTAGAAGTAGGCATGTTCATATGCTGTTGGTACAACTATAATCTCACACAATCTTTTTAGAGGGTTGTCTGGTAATATTATCTTATCAATACTGTTAAATGCACATATCTACCCACTCAGCAATGATAACAAAAGGAATTTACCTTATAGGTATATCTGGAGGAATATATAAACATAAATACACACATTTATTATAGTATGGTTTGTAATAGCAAAATCTGGAAACAAATGTCCATCAAGAGGAGACTAGTTAAATAAATTATGGTATTTTCATATAATATAACATTATTTTACTGTTAAAAAGAATGAGCTAGAGCTTCACGCTAATACAGAAATAGCTTTAAAATAAATTAACTGAAAAACAAGTAATAAAAGGTAGGTGCAGCTTATGATACCATTTGTCAATAGCTTTGGGGAGAGAGAATGGGAGAAGGGGGCAGAAGTAAGGATGACAGTCTCAAAAGATTTTGAGAGAGAAAATATAAACGCTTTGGCATGTAGCTAGCTATTTTCTGTATGTTCACAATGTCAGGTCCCTTTTTCCTTTAACTACAGCTTTAAGGCATAAGTAAGAAATGGATGGATACAGTTTGTTAATATTAAAAAGAATATTCTCATTTCATCTTTAGGATCATTAAAGAAAACAAGCTAAGGATCAAAGAGTTCCACATTTTTATCTCTCAAAACAGCTTATTAACAGTGTAAATTTATCTATTTAAGAAATTACTGCTCTTGACAAAAAGAACATTTGTTGTTACAGCACTATACAGTGAGCCTGGACATTTGCTACAATCCCTGCCCTTACCACTGTCTTTCCTTTCAGTTCTTCTGGGAGGTCAAGAGAGGAGAGGTAGAAGGGGGTTTTGCAGAAGACTTCGTTCCCAGACCAAAAGACCCAGGAATAATAAATAAATATAGAAATAGGAAGAGTACAGCTACTGTAAGCTACAATGACCCCTTCTTACCTGGAGTTTTACTATCATAGAACCAAGTATCTTCATGAAGGAGATGGAAAGACAGACTAGCTCTTGGGTTTATAAGGTAACCATCAAATTGAAATTCATGAACTCTGAACTATTAGTTCAAATACTTAATAAAAATTGTTAATTTTGATCTCCAATGATCTATAATTCTTCACTTTTAAGCAGATCAAGATTAAGTTCAACCCATTACTAATCATCATAAAAATTGGGATAAGACATGCAAATAATTATTACAACAATATATGACTTGACCATGAAAAACGAATGCTCAATAAACAGCTTAATTACAAAACCAAGAGGAAAAGAAATACTCACTTTGTTCTCCAGGGCCAAAGTTGGACTGCTGAGACTCCTAAAGATGAAGAGATAAAATTATATAGTAACACTGAGTAAAAAGGTTCATTAGTGAAAAATGCTTCAAATTAAATTCTTTAATTCTAGCTAATTCAATGAAAGATTATGTTAAATTCCTAAGAATGCATAATAGGAAAAAAACACTAATATAATTCAAATGACCTAATAGTCTATCTTTATCATTCCTTTTCAGCAGCATCCATGGTACTCATATTCTAATTTAGAGCCCTGGAAAAACAAATGATTTAAATTTAAGATAGTGGTCTTAAAATGTTTTTAAAAGTTTTTTTTCCTGGTAATTCTAAAAATTGTATACTAGGGTGAAAAATAGCTGTACAACTTATATAGTCTCAAAATACACTACTTTTATGGACTAAAATACCCGACATGGTATTCCCATGTCATTTTACTACCTTCATCTTCCTGCTTCCAATATCTCACAATTAGCAACTTGAAGAGATTGTCATACTAGCACAGTGCCTGGTACTCAGGAAGCACTAAGGCAAGAAATCCAGGGAACACACCTTCCCCCTGCAGGATATGGCTTCAGAAATTTTTCCTTTCTTCAGATCTCCCCCCGTTTTAGCCCAAGCAAGGAGAGATAAGCCAAAACTAGTCTTTTCCAGCTTAGACACCATCTTTGGCAAAGGCATGACCTTTGGCTACTTGTAATATCATTATAATATCATCTGCATTGCAAATACTGCAACTTCCAACATGTACCTGATGCCATGACAGTTCTGGAAACATCATATAAAGAAGAAAAAGTGGGAAACCAAACTCCCCCCTGAGACATGAGGCTAGTCAGTACCACGGTTCAGGGCTTAGTCTCCAAGAATAACAAAAGCCTGTAATCGAAACACCCTTGTGTTACTCTCCCTCTCTCAAGAGCACCAGTAAAAAGGAAGCCAAAATGTACTGCTGATGGGGGACACCACTTGTAAAATTCTTAATCTTTTAGCAGGAAATGATATGGGACATCTTTTGCAGAGTTCTTCATCTTTTTAATAAACCTAGTTTTCTTCCCTCTTTACTCGATAACTGCCCTGAAACTGGTGACTCAGACCCTCTGGCTATTAATAAGGGTCATCGACCCACTGTTAGCAGAAATGGTGTTAGGCTAGACAGGGCCCTTCGAGTCTGAAAGGGAAGGAGACTTTAAGCCAAAGGTCTTTTTTTTCTTTGTAAGAAATGTATTAACCAAGCCTGTTTTCCTTTAGTCACTTAATAGGCAAATCAATAATAGAAATTAATAGATATATGATTTAAATAACAAGTTTGTATCTTCTTTTCTTTGTCTAGGGACTGAGGCGGCACTTCAGACCCAAGACCCTGTCTTGACTAAGGCAGAGAGGGAAGGAGCTCCATGAAACCCCAATAGGCAGGGATGATGACCCTCCTCAGCGGGAAGCAGATACAGAAGAGACCTCCCATCCCTCAACATCCATACTAATAAAAAGAGGGTTCATGGCTCTTAGAAAAGAGTTTAGGTAGGAAAGTTAGGGGGTTTCAGATCTGCCTGCAAAGACATTGAGGTCATCCTATCCTAGAAGGGGTCCACCCTAATCTGCCCACAATTAAGCAAGCCAGAAGGCATTTTTAGGCTAAAAGTAACTTCTACAAAGAAACAAGCAAGCAGAGAATTAGGTACCAGTTTAAGCCAGTCATTCGCACCTGTACAACGAGGACCCCAACGACCTTCAACTCACCTGAGCCTCATTATGCTATCATCATAACATGATGCATAAGTCCAGCAGTTCATTAATATCATTTTAACAGACTGAATTCTGAGAACGAACATGCGCAGAAAGCAAATGATGAATTGCTGAGTCCTGTCAATCTTAGTTGTCAATCAAGGAAGTCCACCCCTCTGCGAAAAGTAACCATCCACAGCAAATAAGGAAAAAAAAAACCCCAAAGCTTTGTTACCAGGCTTTTTGAGCCACACTTGTCTTGCTCAGGCCCGCTTCCACGTCTCAAAGTGTACTTTCCCTTCTAATAAAGCTTTTCGTTTCTGTTGTATTTCGGCATCTTGCTCAATTCTTTGTTTGAGATATCAAGAACCTGGACAACGGACCAGGAGAGAATCTCCACTCTCTGGTAACACTGTCGGTGAAAGAAACATGAGTTTCCAAACTCAACTTTCATGCAAATTGTCCATTTTTCTAGATTAAGTCTATGGTACATTATGTAGTACTAAAATTATACAAATATCCCAAACTCAACTTTCATGCAAATTGTCCATTTTTCTAGATTAAGTCTATGGTACATTATGTAGTACTAAAATTATACAAATATCCCTAAATAAATGCCTACTTAAAAATAAGCGCAATCTTCCTTTAATGACAGAATTTTCTGTGAAAGAGAAATTCAAACAGTATGAAAGCTAAAATACAGTTTTGCTGTTGGGAAAAAAACATTGTAAACATAAGTATATGGTCAACTGATGTTCAATAAGGGTGACAAGACAATCTAATGGGGAAAGAATACTCTTCAACAAACAGTACTGAGACAACTAAATAGCCATAAGAAAAAGAATGACGTTGGATGCTTACTTCAGACAATATAAAAATAAATTAACTCAAAATGAATCAAAGACCTAAATTTAAGAGCTAAAATTACAAAACTCTTAAAAGAAAACATAGTGCCAAATCTTAATGACCTTGGATTTGGCAAGAATTCTTACATATAACATCAAAAGCACAAGACTTAAAAGAAACAGACAAATTAAGACCATCAAAATTAAGTCTTGTGCTTCAAATGACACTATTAAGAAAGTGAAAAGACAATTCACAGAATGGGAAGAAAATATTTCCATATCATGTATTCGGTAAGAGACTGATATCTACATTATATAAAGGACTCTTAAAAATAAAAAGACAAATAACCCAATAATAAATGAGCAAAAGCTCTGAATATACATTTCTCCAGGAAAGATAAACAAATGGCCAATGAACACATGAAAAGATCATTAAGGAAATGCAAATCAAAACCACAATAAGACTATAGATGGCAAACAACTCTCTAATAAGTTTCATAGTAAAGAAGAGGAGTGGCTGGAGAATAACATGGAATAGAGAGATTTTTGTTGTGTTGTTTTTAAATAGGACAGATTGAGGATGTTTAAGCAAATGATATGGTTCACTAAACTACCTCTCCAAATACATTTGTAAACCCAGATTCTCACCCACCCACCACTAGCCACCTGCTGACTGCTCTTTCCGCTAATGGGTGCGAAGTCCTCTCTGTTGTGTTCCCCATCTTCAAATGTGCTTCTGGCACTCATATTCTTCTCTTTCTAACCGTAGTTGGTGTCACCTTCTCTAGGATGCCATTTCAAAACGCTCTTAAGTAGCAAAATTTTGCCCCTTCTCTGTCTTCTCATTTGACCTAGTCCATGTGGTTAATGCACAAGGAGAATAAGTACCTATTAAAGTGTCATATAAGGCTTTAAACTATTAAAACATCATATAAGGCTTTAAACTATATTACACAAGAACTTACATTCACTGAAAATTCAAAGAATGAGGAGCTATAAAAAAGCAAACCCTGACCCGTAACAGCAATGAAACAATAATCAGTAAGTAGCTGAGGTGTTTCAGAAATACCAAAAATATAAGAGTTACCTGAGTGTGTATATATATATATATATCCATCCAAATTTGGTCAAGAAACATTTATTGAAAAGCTATTATGTACCAGAAACTATTCTAGGCATTGACATATGATATGCTAATTGCTTCTTCCCCCCTTTAATTCCCCTCTCCCCGCTGCCTCCTGCCCCATGGATGTTGCTGTTTCCCCTTAAGAACTGAATCTCTGAAGGTGGGGCGTCTCCTCCCACACACTAGGGGCACAACTCTGGGCGGGGGGGCTGGCGCACCTGGGGTATGGTCCGTGGCTCCACCTGGGGCGCAAACCCAGGACCTTCTGCATGTAAAGAAGATGTGCTAACCACTACACTATGGAGCCACGTCCAAACTGCTTCTTTAAACACCAATCTTAGGGCAGGGGCAACATCTAAATGGTTCAGTGCTATACCTGCAGCACCCAGAACATTGCCAGGGGCTGTCCCAAACATACAGTGAGTTTAGGCAAGGACAGCCAAAAGTTTTAGTATGCTCCAAACTAGCACTAAAAATCTACCAATCTACCACCAACTATACCCATTCACTCTGCTTTCCCTCCGGCAACAAAGAAGGACCTAACTGTGCTCTAGTCTAAGGATGATATCCTCTGCTTGGGCACTGAATCTCAACTGTTCTTGTGGAGACTTCTCAAAGTTACCCTCTCTCTCTTCCCCACGTATCATGTTTTCCCCTTTTTACTAAATCATTATAATCAGCATATAAATATAAAATATCCTCAGTCTTTTAAAAATACTCCCCTGAAAACATCGCCATACCCTTCTTGGCACCACATTTCTCTGCCCCTCTTCATAGACCATGCCTCAAAAGAAAATCTTTTATAGGTTCAACCGACTCCAATATCCTTTGAGCCTACTGCAATTATTCTTTTGCCCTCCACTTTCCAACTAAAAGTGTTTTGTCATCCATAAAGAATACACTGTCAAATTTAATACCTGGAACACTGTAAAAACTAAATTTAAAGTATTTGTTTAGTAAATAAACAAATATACAAATATATCAAATTTATAAAGATGAAAACCATAATTCTGAGATCAAAAATATGTTCACTGGGAATAAGAACAGAATAGAAATTGCAGAACAAATGATTACTGAACCTGAAGCTATAGCACTGGAAACTACCCAAATAAAATGATAAAAGACTGAAAAAAAAATAAACAGGACATTACTGAGTTGTGAAACAACTTCAAGAGGCTGAATATACATGATATATGTAACTGAAATCCCTGAAGAAGAGAAAAAGGGAGGGAGTACAGGAAAATATTCTGAGGAAATAGTAGCAAAAAATTTCCAAATGTGATTAAAAAAACTATAAACCCAAAATTCCAAGAAGCTAAAAAATGTCCAAGCA